CCCCATTCAGCAGCGGGCCCACATTTTCCCTAGTCTTCCTTTTGCTCTTGATGTATTTGAAGAAGCCCTTCTTGTTGTCCTTGACATCCCTTGCCAAATTTAATTCCAAATGGGCCTTAGCTTTCCTTGTCACATCCCTGCACAGATCTTTTTGATCTGTGGTGAGGCCCTGCCTCTCATTCCAAAACCCCTTAGATTCTTCAGTAGCCTTTAAAATGGTTAAGAATTAGAACTAGAAAAATAAAATTTGAGTCATCCTTCCCCTGTCCAGTTTACGGAAAGTATGAAAATGCCATTTTTGACAATTAATTTCTGTTTAAATCTGACTGTAAGTGAATCAGTGAGATAAATTCAGGGAGTTTTTTCAGATACACATGTTTAAATAGGTACCTTTTCGTTTGAGGGAATACTTTCAAAAGAGCATAAATCTGACTTTTATTGGGGCTTACGAGTGTAAGTTTTTTATATGCCTTTGAGATTTTAACTTCAATTGTTTATTTTAAACAGTTTTTTTTTCAACTGCAGCATTAGTTATATGATTTTGCTAAGACTGTTGGAAATCAATGACACAATTAAATCTAAAGGTTTTTAAAACTGGCCTAGCAAATTATTTTCTATTTAAATGATTAAGCTACCCAGAAATATAAATTGAGAATTACTGACATCCAACTTGCAATGAATTATTACAAAAATTTCAGTTTCTAGAGCCAAATAGCTAATTAGATTTCCTACTGACAGGAAAGTCACATCCGTTTGTATATATAGCTTATTAATTTGAAAGACAATTAGCAATACAGGAATAATAACTGAGGTCAATTTAAAATAAAATATCTTGAAAAACTCAGTCCCTACACTAGTTTCCCCTTCCAAAAGACTGATTATAATAACTCACCAAACTCTAGAAACTAATCAGAAGGTATTCTGTAATACAGAAGAGATGTTAAAGAAAATAAAACCACAAAAAATCCTCTAGTGAGGATAGCATTTCCAAAAATGTTGTATTTCAAAGTCATGAAGACTGACTTCACCCATCTCAGCACAGAGCAAGTCTAGTATGACTATCACTTATTTTGCTCATGTTAGCGCCACAACACAGCTCAAAACTTAAGCTTAGTTTCTGTTCCCATACAGCTCTTGGCATCTTTTCTAAGGTGGCAAAAGAAAGATGCTAGTATCAGCTGTGGTACTCTACACTATAACTTTTAAAAGAGAAAAAACAAAATGTAATGACTTTCAGCAATAACAAACTAGAAATGGAAAGCTAGATATCACATTATTAAATATTAGTAATAATATTAATATTAAATATAGTCTATAAACTATGTAATGACTAAGTGTATTAGTAAGAAGATTGAATATTCCTGGAAATATCACACCGCAATCCTGCTCTAACATATTCTACAGATCTAGGTGATCACACTACTCTCCTGATCTAACAAGCTTTTTACTTTTCACTTTTTGACATTTTACTAAGAGTCAGGAATTGCAATTTCTTGGAACACAGAAGAAGTTATCTGAACAGATTATAGGCAATCGTTAGTTCAGACCTCAACACGTAACTGGATATAAAAGCAAAGACGCATATTACAGCTTTAAAGGCTAAACAGAGATACATTACTTACCTGAATGAAGTGCTTTCAAACAGCGTAATGATCTTACTCGAATTCTTTGGTTTTATTACATATTTATGAAGTGAATGACCAAACATGTAAGCAAGCAAGGATGTAACAGCAGTTCAAGGAAATAATGATTCTAGCTAGAACCACCCACAGAATTTCAGCTAGTTTATGCACAAATGCAGTGCTTTGTTTAGGGAGAGTATTGTAAGAGCTCAGATCACTGCAAACAGTGATCCTGGAGAGATAACTACTAACAAAGCTGGTTACCAACCTATCCTGAAAAATAATTTTAATGTTTCGAACTTTTTTCTGATTTTCTGATTTATTTCTAGTAAGGTCCTCATTTATTCACTTCTGATTTACTACATTCAGAGGTTAAAAGTTTTTCCTATAAAAAAGGTTACTTAGTGACTTCTTGACGGCTTCTTGAGTCAAAAGTGAAGACAGTTACATGACTCAACAACATTTTTCCTCAGTCCGCTAACATGATTTTTCCCAACTCACCTCACTAAGAAAGCAAGATTAAATATCAACTCAGAATTAAGACAGAGTTTACTGTGTAAATACTGTGGTCTTGTCAACATCACTTCTGGCTCAATGTTTTCATGATATTACCTACCCTCTTCTACTGTGGAATCCAGCTGGGTAACTTTGACAGCAAGGCGATCAATTCTGTCTTGAAGAGAATTTGCTCTGATGTAGAAGCTGTTGGCCTCATTAAACAACTCGCCAAATATGTCTTCAGCATGTTTGCCTATGGAGGAAAATAGGCAGCTAAATCTCTTTGTTAAAGACTTAAAACACATGAGAAATGACTTCAGTACCACGAAGTTATTATAAAACACATGATGTATAGGATTATAACAGCATAGCTCTTCATTCAGCAAAATTTTGGGCAAAAGATTCAGACAAAAATCTCAATATAAGCCCTAAATTCTGACTCAAAGCTATTTTTCTGGACATATTGGTTGGTATCTTACTTAAAAACAGGGAGACTTTCAAATTTTAATCCTTAATTATTTGAGCTGCTGCCAACAGATATGCAACTATCATTCAAACTAGTCTCTATGACAAAAATAAAGACCCATCAAAGTTATTGCTATCTTTAACAGTTTCTGAAGTTAATTCTGCAAACCAAAATCTAATAACCAAAGTTGTAAAGATTTATTTAATTATAAGTATGAACATAAGGCAACACCAAAATGAAGGAAAAGTGAAACAGGCAATTAAAAAAAATGGATCCTCATAACCAACTGCCCACTTACCTCTCTACAAATACGCACTAGAGACGCTGCTCTGCCACTGAAGTCATTTGTGAGATTGGGTAAGACCATATTGATCACATTCATCCAAGGCCACTCTGGACTTGACATAGCACAGAAGAGAGGAGCCTAGAACCTTTTCAGCCTCCCTTTCAGCTGCCATATTTTAACAATCACTGCAATGGTGGTCAGTCCAGTGCAACAGCAGCCAAAAATCATAGTCAAAAGGACTACAGTGGACAGGAGTGAGTGCCACATGACAAACACAGTCCCCTCTCGGTCCAGAGAACCTTGCACCTGTCCATTCCCTCCCTAGAATTCCCTCTTTCCAAAGTACACAGCACCCTCATCCATTTCTCCCTCTGCCCCAGGCTGAATATTTCAATCACCATAAATGAGAACCCTCAGTTTAACACTTCTCCTGCCCCAGAATTTCCCCTCCAGCTTTCAAATTCCAATCAAACTCATTGCTCTGGGTCACCAAAATCACAGTACCTGGCACCTACTTGTGTCTTGGTCCTTCCTCCTTCTACTCTACCTAAATAGTGCTGCTGCTGACTTCATTTAACATTCTCTCCCGCCACAAATGCACTGCTTTCCGTAGCCAACATCTCTGTTACGACAGCTACGCTCCATTAGTTCTCCAAGCAAAAGCAAATCCTACCTCCTACATCTAACTAAGGTTTTTAAACAAATTTTAAAACTCTACTTAGGAATTAAACTCATCTTGGCATATGAACTGTAACAAGATGAACCTGAAGAGCAGAAATGGAAAGGAGAGGGAAAGCGAAACTTATCTGATATTTGGAACAATATGGAATGACAACTTAAATGACAGCGAATTCCAAAAGAATAACATTTATGTTGAAATTTTAAACTGGGTCCTGTAACCAGCCTTAAGACTTTAGATGGAAAAGTACAGACATAATGAAAATTTCAGTCAAAAATCACACCCTGCAAACATTTGGAGATAATACAAAATTAAAAATAATCATTAAAAATTCGAGAACGCAACAGGATATGTCCCTTTCCTGTATCATTTATTTGGGAAAAACACCTACTAAAACAGTATCTGAAAACACTCTTTGTGAATTAGGAATGAAAGAGCATTCATTTCAAATTTGATTTGATTTTCTCTCTTTGAGCAGAGGACTTTTCCAGTAAGCGATTCTTCACTAAATGTAAAATCAAGTCGAAAACTAATCCAACAGGTTACTTAGGTGCATCTAAGCTCTGCTTCATATATATGTGGAAGGTGGCAGAGAAAGGCACGCTGCCGATTTCCTCCTAACCTCCTGCCTCTCAAAAACCGAAGTCGCTGACTGGGATTCAGTTATAATCCCTATTTGATTTAGCTGCTACAAATGAAGAGGTTATTCTCTCCAAGCTATGGAACAAGAAAGCTCTTCAATTCTTCAGCTAAATCAAGGAGGTATTACATTCTTCAGTCACCAGTGTTCAGAGCTCAACAAATTGTAACGGATTTTAGTTTGCGTTACTTTCCTGCAATGAGCATGCTGAGCCGAGGACTGCTGCAAACTAGGACAAAACATACTACCCTTAGAGAAGTCACGTAGTGCAGAAAGATGCTTGTCGATTATCTTGCAAAAGGCAAAATAAGTCATTGAAGTTGATTTGTGAATATACTTCTTTTAACACTGATTTTTTTAAAAGACAACACTTGCTAAAACAAGTGCAAGACGGGTTGTTAATTTTCTGTCAGTAAAAGAAACAATGACATGGCACCGCCATGCTACTCAGCATTTCAGTTTTAGGAAAAAGTAGTATTTCTCTAGTGTTCTCAGTATTACTACCTTTTAAACTACTTTTTTAACAACGCAGAAACAAGCAGAAAAACTATTTTAATATATAAGATCATATCTTTCAACTTATGGGACGATTTTGGTACAGTAAGACAGCTATTAAAAAAAAACTGCTGCCCAACATACAGGCATTCTAAATACTCATTTAAAATCACTAAAGGAATTATGTATTTCATTATTCCAAGAGTCAAGCTCCAATACCCAATTGCACAGTCGTTATATCTGGAACAAGGTTTTTCTAAGTAGAGGTGATATATCTGTTTTTCATTCTAAAGCTCCCTTCACCAACAGGACTAGTTGAGGGAAATCTGGTCATGATACTGCCCAGCCCAGTCTCTGCCCCCAGTAGGTTTTGATGTCAACTAACAGCAACGCATCTATCTAAGCGCTTCCACAGATCACCTTCATAGGACTCTATGCCTGATTGCTTGCAAAATCCATTTCCAACCATTTTGAGACATTTCTGGAGACAGTAATTCACAAATAATTGAAATCATAATACTTCTACTCAAGTTCTATAATAAATATATGGAACATCATCTTGCAAACATCAGCTTATAACATCTCTAGTAGAGACTAGGCACAATCTGAATTAATTACAATTGATTTTGACATACTGCACAAAAAGGTTTGCATTAACACACTGAATCCATTGCCCCGAAGCCATCTTTTTGTCAACAGTCAAAACACTCAGTGCTGTAACAGAAGAGAAATCAAACAATGGTGCTGGTTTTTCTGAAGGCCAGAAACCCAAATGTGCTTATTAGGTTGCCTATCTCCTTTTAGTATATTTGAATCTTAAAGGCACAGCATTCCTTTGCATTGATTAAAGATCCTGGCGTAGCACAAGTACATGAAAGAAGAATTTCAAATTATAGAAAGATTTACAGTGCATTAAAAGTGCTACAACTTTTCACACCATGAACATACATCATCAAAGACAATAGGTAAGTAATGCCAATACCCGGTATTCAGGTGTCAGCTTTAAAAGACACGGAAAAAAAGATGACACTAGGACTGTCCCCAAGTGAGTCAGTGCTGCATTAATGCTGCTCTTCAGGATCCAAGGTAAGGCAGTGAATGGCCCCACAGAGCCAGCTGATGCTTTGTAAGTTGGAATTCATCCAGGACACGACCATTGGAGCAGGAAACAAGTGATCCAACCACCCATTTGTAATTGGATTAATCCGCATTGGAATCATGCTGTGGGATTTTGTTTGTTTGTTAAATAATCAGCAAAAGTGGTAGGCTACTACCAGCTAGGTCTTGATTATTACCCACCTCTTAGCACCTACAGTACTGCACCAACGCTAAAAAAGCTAACTTCATAACTTGGTCCAACTTAGCTGTGGTTAAGAGTAGAGTCACACAAAGCAGGATACAGAATGCTCAGATCTGTATGCAGGCTAGTGAGATTCTGAGACAACGGTCAATCTGCTGAAGAAAGCATTAGGAGGCAAGTTGACGGACATGGCTCTTTGCATGAAAGAAGCAAAGACTTCCAAAGCCTCACATATCATGCTTCCTCCCTTTTTATGCTGAACAGTCACTAGTGGTGCAAAAGACTTTTGGTATCGCTTGCATATGAGTCAAAGAATAGTCAAAGATACTCTGTATCCACATACTAGATATAGTTTATGTTCATCTAGAAATAAGATTTCAGCCTGATATCTAGGATCTAAATCAATGGAGGAGAAGTTACAAAGAAATAAACATATGAAAGGTAAGAAGTTAAGGACTGGTTCATTCAACAATTTTAAATGATGTATATGCTAATGTACAGGGAGCATGTTAATGTACAGGCTGAAATCAGATTAAGAAACAACCAATGCAGAAGTACGCTCACAGCTTTTAAAATTTAATTTTCAAAGATAATCAGATGCAACTTATTATTTCTTCCCTAGGTATATATACATATGCAAAACTAAGGAAAATAACATGGTACCATAGATGCTTTTCCAGAGATCTCTTTTAACTGGCTAGAGTCCTGCTGTCATCAGACTGACCTCCACTGCCAAAAGTTAGGGAGTATTTGTGGAAGCTGTTGCTTCAAAGCCTTTGCTCCATGAGTGCTGCTATTTACAAGTAAGGGATGTAAAAGCTCCCCGTCTTCCCACACTGGAGATTCTCTTCTTCTAAGCAGACGTAAAGCCTTAGTTAATACTTTGCTTTATGTAAAAGTGTGGAAGGGTCTGCACAATTTCATACAGATCTTTGCTCACTCTGCCTGTGCTTCAACCTGGCTGCAAACAAAACAAAACAAACAAACCAACCAAAACAAAACAAACACACCGCACCGACCGCACATTCCATTTGGATAGGAACTTGCTCACGTCTCCCAAAAAGAGAGCAGAGACAGAAGCAGCCAAATTTGTATGCAACAGTCAGATTTGCCAGTTTCAAAATTCACACCAGACAATGGTGCAATGTTGCAATGTAACATTAAAAAACAGTTTGACTGCAGGATAGACCTGTGCTTGCTCTCTCTGTGCTTCAAGCTGTGGGAACACCAGCCAGCTCTGATGCTCCCAGCAGGACCGACTACATTAGCTCAAGCACAGCAGTTCTCTATCAGCTCTTGCTTGCTTCCAGTTGGCTTGAAACACAGGCAAAGCAAGGGCCGTCTGCAAAAGCTGTGCAAACAGGACGGTTCTTACTGTTTGGCTATGGACAAGTCTGCTGGCAGACTGCACTCTCGTATTAAAAACCTTGCATACAAATGTTAAAACAAAGGACACATCCTTTATTTGCACAGATCTTTAGCTTGGCACTAATACAGTACATTAGGGTTGTCTAAAGAGAGTTCTGATGACTCGTGAAATGAAAATAGTAGGACATAAATTGGGCAAGTAGCCAGTTCTTCAGTAACAGTCATAACAGAATCTGAATACGCAAGGTGATGCATAGATTTGCCCCAAGACCAAACCTGGAGAAAGGACAGCTAGGCATTCCTAGCAAGATTTAACTGGTCAAAAAAAGTCAAAAGTGTATTATCCACACTTTGTACAATGTCAGAAAGAGATTTTACCAGCTTTTCTTGGCTGAACATAAGGAAGAGATATTAGCCATGCTTCTCAACTTCCTGAAACTGAGCAACTGACTGATAAAATGGCAATTGACATTCAATGACAACAAATACAGAGTAATACACATGAACTATAAATATCTTTAGGCTCTGAATTGCTTACTCAAGATCAGAGAATCACCTGGAAACTTCTCTGAAAGTGTCAACTCAGTGTCTAGCAGTAATCAAATAGCAACATTTTATAAATTCTTAGGGAACTAATGATAAAATAGAAAACGTCACTGTGACACTATGTTTTGATTATGATGTGAAGTCCTTCAGATTCTACCTCAAAAAAAAGCCTCTAACTTAAAGATCCAATGCAGAAATAACAATGATCAGAAATACAAAATGGTTTTGATCCAAAAAAAAAAAGAAAAAAAAAAAGAGTTTTAACAGATCAGGGCACTCCAGCTTGGAAAATACATTGTTAGTAGGACACAATAATGATTTATAAAATCACAGATAGTATGGAGAAATGCAAACGGAAATCACTTTTCATTGTTTTCCATACGTAAGAACTGGAAGGAATCTAAAGGAAGAAACAGAACAACTTACGTTGCAAGACACTCTGCCACAGGTCATCGTGCAACACAAAAGTATAATCCTTACCTGAACGTCTGAACAGTTCCACAGATTATAGGTCTATGAATGCTTGTTACATATGATGATTCAAGTGGTCTTCCAGGTCAGAAGGTCCTTAAACCCCTGACTGCCGAAAAGTAGAACAAGCCTTATTTCTTACACTTGTTCCCTAAGCACTACCATCACAAACTGAACACCAGGCGAGTGGGACCCCCTACTCTACACTCCATACAGATCTTCTTACGTTCTTAAACCATTTATGTTTACAAAGTGAAGAAACTAATGAAGTGAACATTTCTTGTCCAGGACCAGAGCTACCAGTACAGATAACAATGGTTGACTGTTCAAAACTCTCTGAGGAAATCTCTCTTCTTATTCACTGAGAAATATTAATTCTTCTTGCAAGCACGCCAGGCATGCTTCTAGACTGCTAGTTGTTGAATCTACCAAAACGTGTACTAGCTAGGCTGTTTTGTAAGGAGCACTGGAGTGCTAAAGGCTACTGATACCAGCAGTATCACTAACACTGAAGCCGCCACCATACTGGATCCACCAGCACCTCATAATTTCCAAAAACAGAGAGTCACAGCAGGAGCTGGCCCTGTGCAATGTCTTTTTCAGGTGAACTGTGTTGCTAGTGATGGTACACAACTAGTTTCCTGAACTGCACCACAGAACTGGGCTGATTGGCTTCTAAAGAAGGTCTCATCTAAACTAGATATGAATATTGCTTTGGTGTGCATACCAACGACACACTGATTCTCAGCTAAATAAATACAGATACATCCTTAGCACCTTGTGAAGTCTCTCCCTCTTATTAAGAATAACCCAACAATATGAAAATTATCCTGGAAAGTGTTGCTTGCTCAGCATATACAGATTTTAAATACAGTCATCAAATATAAACTTTAAACAATGCAAAACCAAAGATAGTTTAGGCATAAGGAGTTATTTGAAAACTGACAACTAATATTTCTAACAGCTTTAATATAAACAAAAAATAACATAGTGTAGAGTCTCAGAGGGGATTCTTTAGACAAAAGGAAGACAGCAACAGCTTTACTGGTGCACACTCTAACCAAACATCCAAAAAAAATCAACTAACACTTAGGCTATCCCTAAAGGTGAGGGATACGTAAAGCTGAGGATCTTATAGTCAAAAATTCATTGTTCTTTCACCCTATAAGCAAGGGGCAGAGCATAGCATCGCTCATGGGCCAAGTTGTTTTGTGGGAAGAAGAAAGGACTAAGTGAGTTTTCCTAAGCAATTCTGGGTTCTATCCGAACGCTGGCCAAGAACTACTCTGCGCTGACCTACTGGCCTGAACAAGTACGCTGTTTTGCTAGCTGGCTACTGCCAACCACTGTGTTAACAGCTAAGTTAG